TTTGAGGTGATGCCTATAGGGCTCACTATGTAATTATCTAAGTTGAGGTCCTTTATGTTATGACTAGTGAGTTGGTGGCTGATTCATAGAATATGCCAGAATTGCTTCAGTATTTCCTTCTTCTGCATAAATAAAAGCCAAATTTTGGGATTACATTAGTAACTACCTATGCCAAGATATAATATCAAGAACTATAAACCTTTTTTTCTTAATTATGCTATTCTTTTCATTACCTTAATAAATAATTTCACCAATAGTTGATGTGGATTCATCACCTATATTCCTGCGTTATAAGAGAACCAGCTCTTTTATCATGATAGTAGAATGGCCAAACTGCTTTGACATTCATGTTTCTGGAAATGTTACCTGTATTCTCAAGCATCTAGTCTGTTTCGTTTTCCCATGGCCATTAACAGGAGACCGATGATGATTTGGATACAAGCTTGGAAGGTGCCCAAGATGAGTATGAAGGTAATAAGGATGCTGCACGTGCTCTGCTGCGTGTCAAACAAAAATTAGATGGGTATGAAGAAGGTGAAATGAGAAGTGTACATGGACAGGTAATCTTTAACTGCTACTGCCACGGTGGTGGTCCTATATTTCAAGAAATATTGCTAGCATGATGTTTCTTTTTGTCTAATTCTGTTTTTGATGGATATGCCTTGGTCTTTGGTTGCCTCAACTAAGCTCCATTGAATGACCTTGTTGTTAATAGTGAAAGTAATTTACATGGGATTAATTATTGCTGTCTACTCCTGTACCTCGTCAACTTAGTTTGATTCTACATGAACATGAACTTCAGTGCTCTTAATGTTATAGCCGACATCTTGGCCAAAAACGAAAAAACATTATATTGGAGGTCCAAAGCTAGAATCAGGCGAATATTAATCATAAGCATGCAAAAAATCTCTATTCGTTTTTCCAAGATTTTTTCTAACTAACCCTTAGATGACTCTTTCAAATTTCTTGTTCTATCTAAGTTTGCAACAGATAATGGAATTTTAGCACTACCGACTGTTTAATTAAACAGTTAGCAGAATTTTTTATTTAAGTTGATTACTTTATTGTTAATTGAGAGAAGGCTGATATTCATAAGCCTCCCCATGTTGCATACTCCTTTTCATTGTTCTATGGAAATCGAGCCATGACCTTTTACTAGCAACATACAGCTGAGATATTGAAAAATGTATGATTTTTTGAACTGTAGGTTCAACAACTAATTCAAGATGCCATTGATCCGGATAGATTATGTCAGATGTTTCCCGGATGGGGAGCTTGGATGTAAATCATATTCCTGTTCCACCCAATCATGTTTGTACAGTCGGCTTTCTATTTGTCATTATAAAAAGGTGCATATTGAGGTTTCAGGTTTGGGTGTTGTGTTGTTTGTATAGTGAATTATATTGTACAGACAATTCCCTTTTTTTCTTTTGTGTTTCCTGGTTTGGTGGATATGCAGGAGCTGGGGCTATGCCCACCGGGCAAACCCTAAGTGGGGTGGGTGAACCGTCAGGGCTAAGCCCACCCGGCAAACCCTAAGTGGGGTGCGTGAACCGTCAGGGCTAAGCCCAAGATGCCAGGTTCATGGAGGAAAAATTTTGAAGATTGGCTTGGAGTGGGGACCAAGAATTAAATCAAAGGTTTATATTTCTGTACTGATACATTAAATAACAACCCGTCATCCCATTATATGCAAATATAATAATAAAAAATTTATCTAAATAAATATATTTTAATTAAGAGAAATCTAATTATATTGTGGATTTAAAATTTTTAAATAATCAAACTTTTCTTATTCTCCTTTTAGAATATAAGAAAAGAGAGAAAGGCAACAACTTTCGAGGCAGGGAATATTTCCTTGTAGTTGGACAACTTTTGTCAGGAATGTGTCAACATCCAATTGCCGAAACAAAGATATCTTTGCCTCCAAGGCCTATGATTCCCTGGATAAAACTGCAAATATTGCAGATGAAAACAACAAAAATGCTCACTTGAACTTGTCTTCTGCCATTTCTATGATGATTGCTGGGGGCAAGTTTCTCTTCGACTCTGGACCTCCAACTTCCATTTTTCCACCATGGATCACGCGAAGCACCTCAGGTTTACATTGGCTAGAATCTCTTCTACTTACGAATGTAACTCATCAACGCTAAAATCTTAAATTTGCACCGCTAAGAATCTCTTTAGCTTACCCCGTAAATCAGTTGTTCTGTTTAATTTTTGACTTGACAGCTCAGCGTATTTCAGTCTAATCTTTGGATTTAAACTAGATAATTTGAAATTTTGAAAGTTGCTATTATTCGTACAAGGGATTAAGATTATTTGGTAAAATGATCTCACTCATTGGGGTCCCCTCTTCCCCTTTCTTTAAAGGAGTGTAACTTCCCCGATATTGATAGTTATATATTCCAACTGAAATGGTTGCTTTGGTCAAACCTAGACCCTCTACCCTGCCGCTGGGTTTCTTTCAAGTGGCAGCAAGGCCTGAGCCTGTGGTGCGTGTGGGTCGTGTCAAACAAAACCTCTTTCGCAGACTGAATACAATGAACACAATGGCTGGCGGCACATGTGAGGTGATGACATCAATCACAGTTTTGCAGCAAATACAAAGTACCGTTTGTACATAAATACAACATCAGTCTGTCAATAACACAACTCCGCCATCCACAGAATACATACATACATACATATATATATATATATATATATTTCCTTTTGTATCAGGTATGTGTTAACATCCAATGCCAATGCCAGAACAAAGTCTTCTTTGCAGAAAAATATAACAAAAATGCTGGGTTTTGCCATTTATCATGGTAAATGATTCCATCCAGGAGCAGTTTTCTTCAATATCTTTGAAAATCTAAACATGGAATCTCCTCCAAGTTCCATTTTTCCACCATTGATCACGTGAAGTGAGGTCCCTGTTTTACATATTTTGACTTGTAGATGTAGTTATCCAGAGGTTCTTACATTTCATACGTAATTAAGATTAGTTGGTGTAAGATATTTTTGGTACACTTATCTCAAACTCATTAGTCCCCTCCTTCCTTTTTAAGGAGTGGATGAATCCCACTGCAATCATGTTAATTAAATAGGATTTTATTAGTAACCGACCTATTAAATTATTATGATTAAAATATTACATAATTTAATTTTTTTTTAATTTTAAAAATTTTTACGGTAAACTTTGCATTTATTCTGAATATTAACTCAAGGTAATTGCATGTACCTCTGATTAAATGACCAGGTTCGAAAATCTATTTTCCATATAAAAAAAATTAACATCCAAACCTAATGCATCAAATATCAAGTATACGGTCCAGGAGGAGTATCCCTCCCTGGGGTCTTTGGTGCATGATTTTTGTAGTCCAAGACATGTAAATGACATGAACTCATCTCATCATCTTTGTCTTTGTAATAACAATAATAACTGCAAATATATTTAACTGAAGGTAACAACTGACAATGGAATTACCAATTAACCCAAACCAGGTCTAGTTCCAGGTCCAGGTTTCAGTCTTTCTGGTTTTGGTTCATTTCAAATTTGAGATCTTTTATTCTTTTAACTCTTAAACCTTGCCTCATGCCTGGAAGGTTGGGCTAAGCCTCTTCCTCCTTCCATTCCCTCCGGGGGCCTAAATTACGATATAATTTGTTTATCTCTCTACTTCCAAGACACTTAAATTTTAGTTTGCTCAAAAGAACTAAATATAATTAATATTTCATTATTCGTATTTGTCGTGTCGTATTTAGATTAGATATTAATAATTAATATGAGTAAATACAAATTAAACGAGTTAAACATGTCATAAAAAAATTAAATGATTTTAACTCATTTAAGACATGAAACAAGAGAATCTTAAATCTCAAATTTACTTTTTATTTTATGTTGTTTTCATGTCTTATTAATTGATCAAATTTAGAATTACTATGTCGTTAATTAAAAAGAACTGAATAATACCATGTATAATATTGTATTGAATGTGATGATTTGATAGCATTTCTTGCTTTTAATTTGTAAAACTGAGACATGTTTTTCAAAGAATAAACCAAAATCTTTGTCATAACAAAGAAATGCAGGGGCATGAGGGAGATATGAATTGGTTTCTTTCCTTCATACTGCTTACGTATGCCCATGCGCATACTAAAAGAAACACAAACCAAGCCAGGCATTTGCCCAACTCTCATTCACACACACCAGCTTAAAAAGGGATTAAAGCTTAGTTAAATTGGAATTAATTCCCATAATCTTCTGTCCATGAGAAAGGTAGGTTTGAACAGGAAATGACCTGTTTTCCTTTCTCCATTAACCCCAAGACAAGGAAAAAGGAGGACGCAATTTGAGGATAAAACCTGTGAAAATGGGTAGGCATCCATCCATCAATCAGCAATTCCATGTGCTATGAAAAGCCTTAATGAAAGACACATGTAGCACCCCCAATGGGGAATATATAAAATATAACTTCTTCCTGAAAACAACCCAAGATGCACCCCTACCTTTCTTCTCTTATAATATAATAATAATAATAATAAAGGGATAAATTATATATACCCTTTTGAGATTTCATGTGATTTTTACTTAAATAAAATTACATAAATATAATTAAATATCAACAAATTAAATAACTTTAAATTAAGAGCATTTTATGAACAAGATTAATAATCTAACCCTATGTGAGAATAAAAAATATAAATGAAATTTAACTAAAAAAAATAAAATTCATCAAAGCCCTTTAAGCAAATATATATATATATATATATATAAATAATATTATCCAAATACCAATCCCAAAATGAAATCTAGATAAACCCTAAATACAATAATCCCAATGACCCAAAATCCCGAAACCTAATATTTTAAAATAAAAAATAAAATAATACTAATATTTTATTGGGTCCTTCCTCAGAGCCCAAT